TGGCTACATATTCAAGCAAATACAAGGTGTACCAATGGGTGGTAATGCTAGCCCGGATATTGCAGAGCTCACACAGTCGGTAGTGGAGTATCGCTTCCTACGTAAGAATCCGGGGTTTCATTTCCATTTCTTTCGATATATCGATGACATTTTAGTCGCGAACTGCGCCAATTTTGCTGAAATTGCGAGCAATGTCTATGGGCCCAACCTACAACTCAGCGCTACTTACTCCGGACAAAATGCCTGTTTCTTGGAACTCCAAATTCTAAGCCAAGATGGCAAATGCATTTTTAGCGTGTACAATAAGACCTTGGACTACCCATTCACAGTTAATTACGGAGGGCATCTTGATAGCGATATGGACCATGCGGTACAAGATGGCGTTATTATATCACAACTACTTCGATATGCGCGCATTTCTACCCTTCCGGAAGGGTTTCTTGACTGGGCTAGACGCTTCATAAACATTTACAAACGAAAAAAGTTTGATATTGCTGGGGTAGAACGCTGCGTTTTAAGATTTTGCTCCAGGAATCGATCAGTGCTGAGCAAATTCATTTACCCTGATGACCTAAAAATTAAAAACCTAGTTAGTGTGATATTCTCATGAAAGCTGTCTCCTCATAACTTCATAAAATCACTATCCTTATCATATGTTAGTTTCCTCCTCTTCCACCTGCTCTATCACTCCTACTTCTTTCAAGACATCAAATATTTTCTCTCCTTCTTACGCTCTTTATCTTTTCCTTTCACTCATCCTTCTAACAAATTAGCTACATGTCTTTCCAATACATAGCGGGTAGGAGGACGTACTGACGATTCCCACTCCTACTCGCATGAATAGTCCGGTCTGTGTTTACAGCTAAGGGATGAAAAACAGACTGCATTGAAAAGTATCACCCCACTACATCTGAAAGACAAAGGCAATTTGCACCATAAAATAACACCATAGACATGGCCTGCGTACAATCCTGTTGGTCTGTTACTTTATTCCGAAGACACACACACACACACATACACACACACGCACACACAGACAGCCTTTCGACAATATGCGTCGTTGCTG